TCCCACAAGTCTTTGTTGCAGGCATTCCTTGTGTCTGAATTCTGAATGGTTTAGGTTGGGTACTGCCTTCATACAGTAACAGTCTATCGTAGGGCTGCTATTAAGGTCCTAATATATCTGCATTATGAATATTATTCCACTGTTACTGAGTGGGGCAGTACCTAAGGTTTAGGCTTTAGAGTTTAGGGTTCAGGCTTTTAGACCCCGTCGGCCACTCATGAAGTACTTACGGCAGCAACCACCTACTAGTCACACCGAGTCTTTGCTTTGCCTGTCAACTTGCTGATGTGTGGGGCTTATGCAGGGGTCTGAACAGTTAGTAGCCCTATTCTTCAGGGTTTCTTACAAAGATGTTTTGCAATGTACCTCAACACTAACACCCTGTCAAATTATTCAGCCCCTATGTTGCGTCAACAACCCCGTTTCAAGCTAAGGAAGTTGAAAGCTTTGGCCCGTGCACACACTTAGCCGGAACACCGTGAACACTGCTTGCCTTATTTTGCCGTCTGAATGCTTATCAACACAAGTCTTCAATACACCGGAAACTGTATCAGTGGACACGTTCTCTTCAGACTCTACACCCGCTCTCTCTCTCTCTCTCTCCCTCTCTCTCTCTCTCTCTCTCTCTCTCTCTATATATATATATATATATGTGTGTGCGTGTGTGTTTATTGATTTGTTTATGTAAAGTATGCATCTAAATGTACATATGTCCAGATATAGAATGTCATATTGTATTTATATACACAGATGTATGCATATACACGCACAGTATGTGTGTACGCATGCAGAATATACGGTATATCCGTGTCTGAAAAACCATCTGAACTCAAGACACCCGGCACTGTGTAGCTGCAAGAGACTGGCGAGGTGACCTGCGGATGCAAAGCAGAAGAACGCGACTGCCCGGGCACTTGCCGACCAGACTAGCAGTGACTAGCAAGGCTTTAGCGCTCTCTACATCGATTTCGGGCTTCGTGAACAGCGGTGCCTGACACTGTGCGGTTGTGCAAACCGACAAGGCTGAAATCGTATGAGCCATAAGTTCACACACCAGCTTGTTGTTAGCATTGTTGTTACTACCCGCACTAGCATTTTATGTTCAGTCTATGGTGATGATGCCTATAGTCGTAACAACAAAAGCGATCTTGGAAAGAGGATAGGGATATGAAGAGTTAAACCATTTCCTTATCATACTTGTAGAATTAGACTATGACAGACAGGGACCCTTAACCGAAATAGCACCGCTTTTAAAACCCTATGGAAACCTGTGTAGATCCTTTTCAAGGAGCCCTAGAAGGGACCCTAATTTGGAAATATAGCAGACCCATCGGCCCTCAGGTTAAAGAGAATGCCCTCGAAGGTTAAGGGCGTGGGTTTGGGGTTCAGGGCTTTACGAGTTTGCGGTTCAGGGCTGTAGGGCGTAGGGTTTAGGGCTCTAGGGTTTAGGGTTCAGGGCTTTAGGGTTTTGGGTTCAGGATTTGGGGCTTTGGGTTTAGGGTTCAGGGCTTTAGAGTTTCGGGTTCAGGGCTTTAGGGCTTAGGGTTTAGGGTCTAAAGTATCAGGTCAAGTATCTATTTTGTTAGGTTCCTGGACCCTCAGGCATATTGAATGAACTCCGAGATACACACTAATTATACGCACCCGCAGGCAGGGATTTCCCCTTCAACCCTCTTTAAGTCGCAGAGTTCTTTCTCAGTTGTTTAGCCGAAGCCGATGCGATTTTCCACAGCGTTCAGTTGCAGCCGACCATGTACATCGATTTCAAGAGAAACATGCTGCGCCCTGCTTTTGGAGCGTTTCGAATGGATCCCTTATAGTAACCCTTATAGATCCCTTATAGTAACCCTTATAGATCCCTTATTATAGTAACCCTTATAACCAAGCCGTAAACCCTCAATACCTGAAGGCCGAAGTCGTGCTTGCCCAGTCGACTCCTCTAATTAGAAACACTATTTCGTAGGGCTTCTTATTAAACGTTTTGCAAGATGTGCTTGCAGACCTTATGTTGATTGCTAAGGCCTATATCATCCTCATGCCTTACCCCTTCACCTGTAATTTGCAAAGCCAAAACCTTGCTGAGTGGTTCTCCGGTTCTTCGACCAAAGCCCAGATCGAACTTTCGTTTCCTTCCCCTGGTCCGTACCGCGACGAACCCTGCACCCCAAACCACCGAAACCCTCAAAGCAACACTGCTGCAGACTTATATGAAGGCCCCTGAACCCTAAACCCGGAAGCCCTAAACCCTAAACCCTAAAATGAGTGTTTGGACTCACAGCCTTGCCGAAGGGTTAGAATCTGAGCTGATGAGGGTTGGGACATTTCGAGTTCGGAGGCTCATGGTTTTGTGAGTTTGGGGCCTAGTGGTTGGGGTTTGATTTCGATTCGGTGAACCCTAAACCCCTAAACCCTGAACCCCTAAACCCTAAAGGTTTAGGCTTTAGGGGCCTGATGTCCCGGGGTGGACTTTCCTGACAGCGAGTGACTACATAATGTCAGAATGCGGATGGGTATAGATAACCAGTATAGACTGCTGTGACATACGGTTGATGATATAAATCCTGCATTACCATAATGACCCTAAACTATGGGAATTATGGTATATTCCGTATTATGGGTCATGCAGGGTTTATATCATCAACCGTAGTCTGGGTTTAGGGTAGAGAGTGATGGGAGGCCCCCGGCGGCTGACTTTTAGTACTACCAACAATCACCATAAGCCTTTCAGTACAAACTTCCTTGGCTGACTTGGCCGTGCTTTCGCTGAGGCTTTACCGCATGTACGACGAAGACCGCCGTGCCTTAGAGGCTCACGCCTGCTGTTTCCACACTAAGATAGGCAGCCGATATTGTATGAAGCATGTGATACGACAGGCGGATCTTTGATATTTGGTGGCTGTAGGGTGCAACTTAACTGCTATGGATCATGCAAAACTACGAAGGTTTCATGAAGTGCGCAGCAAAAGTTCGGATTTCAGTGACCAGTTTCGGACTTCGGGCCAAGACACATGCATTTGGGTGGTTGTCAAAAGTATGGTCGCTTTGTGGGTCCTTAATATAATACGGTGCCTATTATGTACGGTAATTACCCGACAAGGGACCTTAATTTTGACAAGCACTCATTTACTGGCATGTACTTTGAGGGGGCTGACTCATGCTGTTCATTGTTTGATGGCTCTGTCCACGTGACCTTAAGCCTCTGACGCGGTCGTTTCGAGGCAGCCTTTTGCTGGCACATAGTAGTCTCGCTTTGAAGTCTTCATGACTCGTGCTCACACCCGGTGGCATCTGTGTGTTTGCTTCTGAGGTTCGTCCTCTGACACAAAACCCAGACCCTGAACCCTACTAGCTAGGGCAGCTAGGGTCTAAAGCCTGAACTCTAGGCCCAAGCGTGTAACCCTAATTGAATCCTGAGAAGAACAAGCTTAGAATCGAAGGCCACACGAACTGCAGGCATAGAATCATGAAAGGATCCCTTTGCTGGCTCCTTGAAGTGTCGCAGGGTTTAGGGTTTTAGGATGTTAAGGGCTCAAGAGTTAAAGGGTTTAAGTTTTAAAGGTTCTTTTTGAGGGCTCCTTCGCAGGAGCCTATAAAGGAGCCCTGCAAGTAATGTAGGTGCTTCCACAACTACCCTACTTTTCTGAGTTTCCGTAGTGTAACGATGGTATCACATACCCCCCCTCCACACCCTCTTTTAACTATTCAGGCTGCTCCTTCATCCTGAGCCCCAGGCCCTCTTAAAGTTGAGCTGTAGGCTAAACCCTATACCCGTAAACCCTAAACCCTTACAGTAACCCCGCCAAACCCTAAACCCTATAAGCCCTAAACCTTAAAAGCTTAAAACTCTAAACCCTAAACCCTTACAGTAATCCCGATACCCTTAAAGAAGCTTTTCTCGAGGTTGCCAGGCTTCTGAGCTCCGCGAAGCCGGTGACACTTCGCGTGCAGCGCCGTCCCGCCCCGTGGAAGCAAGAAGTTTTGGAGTTTAGGGTTTCTAGGACCTGGAGTAGGCCCTTATTCCCTTTTTTGAGGGTTCGGGTTCCCTTATAAGCCCCTTTAAACCAAAATGGGCACCCTTTTTATTCCTAGGATACTCTTGGGTCTAGGGTTTTAGGGTTCCTTTAAGTGACCTAAAGGGTTCTATCGAGGTTCTGAAGGGTTCTCTAGGAGTTTTACGGGGTTCGGGGTTTGGGGTTTAGGACCCTTAAAGGAACCCTTAAGGGATCTGTAAGGGTTACTATAAAGAACTATAAGGGTTACAGGAGTTTGTCTTTTGTGTTTTGGCTTGCAAGGGTTATGAGTTTGAGGTTTAGGGTTAGGGTTTTGGGGTTATGGGTTTTAGGCTTTTGGTATTTAGGGTGTTTAGTTTCGGAGTTTTGGGAGTTAGATGGGTTTAGGTTTTGCGGTTTAGGCTCACAGCACCCTAAGTAGCACACAATCCTGATGATAGGATCCCAACAAAAGAAGCGTTACGAGACCCACATCTTGTCAGGAGCAGACCGACTTGGATTTCGAGTTTGCCAAGCAGCCGTGCCCCTACCTGGATGTTCGCGAGTTTCCGTGGCATGTATACTGCTTAGGCTTCAGATGCCTTAGAAGGTGGAGTTGCCACTTCGGCTTTGGGACAAAGGTGGCAGGGTCCGGGTTTAGGCTTGCCTCACAGTGCCTTGAGCAATGCAGCAGGTCGGGGCTCCCCAAAACCTACTTACAGGGTCTTGGGACTATGGGACTTAGCAACATGGGACTTAGTAATTAATTGATATAAGTAACGTACGTAGCTGTAGTTATATCTACTTTGCGTGCTCATAAACTTACTTACAAAGTCCCGTGACACTCCAAGTAAGTGTCCGCAGTAACGAGGATTGAACGGTCGATGATTTGGAGCCGCGAACCTAAGCCTTCAGCCCCAAACCGAAATATTTACCTCTAAGCCAAAACCCGAAGCCAAAAGCCTCACTGAAGCAGAACCCTTTCGAACTAAACTGCAGATTCAAGTTCAGGACCCGACTGGCGCAAGCAGCTCTACGACAGGTCAGGAGGGCCGTCTTTGGTTCACGAGTGCATGGAACTTGTAGTAAGTGGGTTTAAACACGATGCACGTGGGGTCTCCCTTAAGGCTGAGCCATCAACGCTCTAAACCGTCAACTCTAACTACCCTATACCAAAATTTGACCCTAAGGAACATGAAAAAGCTCACATCTGCGTGGTGCCAGCTTCAAGGGTAGCACCATGACATGCTTGTAGAGAGAGACCCGAAGACCTTCATAACACCCGAAGCAAGAGTACTTATTCCTTAAGTATTGAATTGCAGGAGTGTTTAGAGGTTTTCGTGAAGGTATATGTATATATATATAGATAGATACACATGTAAAAGAACAACACATATATATATATATATATATATGGTCACCCCCCCCCATGACAGACCATCCCCTTTAAAACATCGCTCCCACCGGCGTGTTCGTGCTTTTTCCGGAGTATCGAGTGTGAGCCCTCCGAACGTATCCCTGGAACCACCAAAAGACTGAGACCAGAAAGCAGCACGATAAGGCGCGCGGGTGTCCTACCAAGAAAGGAATTACAGAGCACACGTGTATGGATGAGGGTTGTGCTGACACACTACATAGTAAGCACTACACAGTAATCTTACTTGAGTCATATTTAGAGCAGATTCCAGCATTTCCAAAATTTCCAAAATTCTCTCCCCTAACTTTCCAGATTTCCAAAATTTCCAAAATTTCCCGACCTAGTCGACAGGATTTTTCCAAAACATAAGGGCGGACTTTTTGGAAATTTTGGAAATTTTGGAAAGTTTGGAAATTTTGGAAATTTTGGAAATTTTAGAAATTTTGGAAATTTTGGAAATTTTGGAAATCTGGAAAGTTAGGGGAGAGAATTTTGGAAATTTTGGAAATTTTGGAAATGCTGGAATCTGCTCTATATATGACTCAAGTAAGATTACTGTGTAGTGCTTTTAACACTAACGTTGACATGTATATTAATGCTTTCATTTCGAATATGCACATTACTAATTCTATTATTAACATTAATACTCCTACGCCTACCAATAGTCATATTCATATTGATATTAATGCCAATACTAACAGACACCTGCGTATATTAATGTCCGCAGATATACATACCACTATCTGAAAAGCAAATATATCAATGCATTCGTGTACTAACGTAGTATATTCGTATTTAATTTGTCATATACCCAGTTTCCAACGTGACAATATACTACTTGTTAACGTCTGATTATACTGTATTGATATGCTAACTTGCTAAGACACGAATACTGTAATATGCAAGTACACTGACACATGGCAATGGTATACTAACATATGGATATACCAAAAAAGTTGTTAGATAATATACGAATATGATAAATGAAGTAGCATACCAGGATACTCATACACTAATATGTTAATAATCGAAGATAATAGCACACCAATATACTAATGTACTCATGCACGAACGTACGCATGCATTAATATACTAAGAGCATACAAACATGCAGGTATACAAACATATTACTGTTCGAATACATTATAATGTGTTGGTATACTAAGCTGTTTATATAATCTATCAGTATACTAATATATCAAAACTAATTATAGTATTGATACGCATACTAGCACGTCCGCGAATATTACACTGATGTTAAATTCATCATTAAGACTGATTAAAACTGACATCGACATTGGCACTGGCATTAACACTAATTATCACTAAATATGCTAGTGTACTAATATACGAATACTGTAAAAGGCAAGTACACTGACATGTTCACATGCCATTATGCCAACATATTGATATACCTATAAGCTATTAGGGAAAATACGAATATAGTAAATGTAGTAATAGACCACTATAATAATATACTAATATACTACTACGTTAACATACGAATATCATGATACACCAATATACTAATGTACTCATGCACCAACGTACTAATATATTCGCGCAATCTTCAACTCTGCAAATATACTATTGTTCGAATACATTACTGTATTATTATATTAAGCTCAAAATGTACGAATCAATCAGTATATTCACATATCAAAACTATTTCTATTACTGATACTAATACCAGCACTTCTGTGAATAATAAACAGATACTAAAACCAGCATTCAGACTGATACTAATACTAACACGAGTACTATTACTGTTATTGACATCGACACTGGCACTAACACCAGCACGAACATAATCACGAGTTCATATTTACTATTATTGATATGTATACTTTTATTCAATACTAATACTAATACTGATGCTAATACTAATACTAAATACCAATACCAATACTAGTACTAAAGCAATACCCATCCTAATATCAATACTACCACAAAACTATTACTCATATGAACACTGATACCAGGATTAGGACTACTACAAACAATGACAGCAGTACTAAGAATAGAACCAAGAACAATACATATTAATCCTAACACTAATACTAGTACTAATACTAGCTACTAATTCTAATACTCATACTCATACCAATACTAATGTCACCACTACTGCTGCTACTACTACTGCTACTACTACGACTACTACTACTACTACTACTACTACTACTACTACTACTAGTACACATACTTAATACTAAAACTAATACTGATACTCATACTAGTCACTAATACTAATACTAATACTCATTCTAATACTAATACAAATACCAATACTAATGCTACCACTACTACTGCTGTGCGACAACTATTGCTAGTACGACGACTACTACTATTAACATCAATACACATACTTAATGCTAATACTAAGAGTAATACTAATTCGAATACTATTACTCATACTAAACATCCTAATATCAATACTACCACAAAACTAATACTAATGCTAACACTGATACAAGCATTAAGATCTACAAACAGTAATAGTGGTACGAAGAGCAGAATTGAGATTAAGATTGGGACTAGGAGCACTGCATGCGTGTGAAGAAATTTCCAAAAATTGCAAACCATCTAAAAGAACATTTTGGAATTGAGTTTGGGAGAAGTGTCTGTCGCCTATCCGTTGACAGATCCTGCCTGGGGACGCACGCCACCCTTCCCCTTCCCCACGACGGTCTGTCATGGGGGGGGGGGGGGTGAGCATATATATATATATATATATATACAGAGAGAGAGAGAGGGAGTACCTCCATAGAATTCTATCGGCCTTAAGCAGTATATGTTACATAAGATGTGCTTAAAGTACAATCCATGCATCCTTAGTTTGGTTTTAGGCGCATTGCACAGGGGAAGGCGTACAGGTACGGGTCTAAAGTTGTAAGCCCTAAACCCTACCTTCCAGAACGCTCAACCCAAAAAACCCAAATGCGCCGTCCCGGAACCCTGCAACTCTAGAAAGTAAACTAAACCTTAATACCGTAAACCCCGAGACCCTCAACCGTGAACCCCTAGACACTCAACCTCAAAACCCTAATGCCCTAAACCTTGTAGCGCTGGGCCGGTGTCCATGAACACTGTAGATGACAACGAAGAGTGGTGGTAGCCGAAACTACTCTTTGGGCTTAGGATTATTGGGGTGTAGAGATTAGGTTTTCTGGTTCGAGGGTGCTGTACTTCGGGTTGGAAGGTTCAGCGGTAGTGAGTGGTTCCAGGTTCTTGCTAAAAGGATTCCACTTTCGTTCCGGGTTCTATACTGGGTTCTATTTGCTTTCGAGGTACCTGGCATATATGCAGGGTCCAGGGTTTCTTCGTTAGTTTGCCTTCTATGTGAGGATCCCTGCTTTCGATTGTGAGTACTGGAACGGTTCACGCAGCCCGAGCCTTTGGGTCAGGATGTAATATAAAGGGGTGAATCCTCGGTATAAGAATGTTTCTGCATAGTCTATCCAGAAAGTTTTATCAACATATGGCCTATTCGAGCCCAATTAGTTGATGTCCTCCGGCTGTTATGTTCATATCATGTCTTTTGGGGTCAGAAGAGGGTGTGGTCAGCAGGGGCCGACATTAGCTCACAGCTCACACGATGTACAAGCCCTAAGGAAGGTTCTTATAAGTAGATATAGCAGAAACATGGCATAACAGAAGGCTTTCAGGAAAGTAGTTCTGTCTGGGACACATATCCCATGACATACTTACCGGTTGCGCCCTAAGCACCTCCCCTACACCCCAAACCCTAAATCGAGCAGGCTGCTCTTTGTGTCGGCCGTGGTGCCTTCACTCTTGGAGCGCCTTGGCAGTGCACTTTGGCACTCCCTTTTGGCCGTTCTTGGTGAAGCCTACAGGCTCAAATCTTGAACTCAATGCACTGACCTTCTACATAAGCCTTGTAGACCTAAAGAGAAGTACAGCTATAAGGATTTCCCCTAAGGGTGCAAGTATTCCTCATTCTAGGACTTTTGGGCCTTTGCCTGTACCAAGAACCGCAAGTAAGGGCTGCTTGGACCCGTCGGGTCCTGGCCCGAACTCTAAACCCTACATACGCTAAGTACCCTAAGCCCTATATACACCCTAGTATAAGTACTTCTAGCCCGAATTCAGGTGCAGAACCGTACTTACTCAGCCCCACGATCTCCTCCAAGTGCCGGGCCCTGCAAGTTTTTGCTTGTATCAGGGGCTGCATTAAATATACATTCCACGCCCCCTCCCCCCCCCCACCCCGCCCCTTCTTGACACCCCTGACCCACCCCACTGGTTTCCCTCCATTTGGTCATCCCCCTGGAACGGCTTGGGCCTTGAGCCTTGGGGGGGAGGGCGCAGAACGCACAGCGCGCAACGGTACATACACTTGAAACGTATAACGACGATCTACCCCATAAACCCTATAAAACCCAGGCAGCGTCTGCCAGCTTTAAAGGGATCTATAAGGGTTCTATAAGGGCTCCTTCAAAGGAATCTATAAGAGTTCTATAAGGGCTCCTTTAAAGGGATCTATAAGGGTTCTATAAGGGCTCCTTTAAAGGGATCTATAAGAGTTCTAGAAGGGCTCCTTTAAAGGGATCTATAAGGGTTCTATAAGGGCTCCTTTAAAGGGATCTGTAAGGGTTCTATAAGGGCTCCTTTAAAGGGATCTATAAGAGTTCTATAAGGGCTCCTTTAAAGGGATCTATAAGGGTTCTATAAGGGCTCCTTTAAAGGGATCTATAAGAGTTCTATAAGGGCTCCTTTAAAGGGATCTATAAGGGTTCTATAAGGGCTCCTTTAAAGGGATCTTTCCAAGTTCTATAAGGGCTCCTTTAAAGGGATCTATAAGGGCTCCTTTAAAGGGATCTATAAGGGTTCTATAAGGGCTCCTTTAAAGGGATTTTTAAGAGTTCTATAAGGGCTCCTTTAAAGGGATCTATAAGAGTTCTATAAGGGCTCCTTTAAAGGGATCTAAAGGGTTCTATAAGGGCTCCTTTAAAGGGATCTATAAGGGTTCTATAAGGGCTCCTTTAAAGGGATCTATAAGGGTTCTATAAGGGCTCCTTTAAAGGGATCTATAAGGATTCTATAAGGGCTCCTTTAAAGGGATCTATAAGGGTTCTATAAGGGCTCCTTTAAAGGGATCTATAAGGGTTCTATAAGGGCTCCTTCAAAGGGATCTATAAGGGTTCTATAAGGGCTCCGTTAAAGGGATCTAGAAGGGTTCTATAAGGGCTCCTTTAAAGGGATCTATAAGGGTTCTATAAGGGCTCCTTTAAAGGGATCTATAAGGGTTCTATCAGGGCTCCTTCAAAGGGATCTATAAGGGTTCTACAAGGGCTCCTTTAAAGGGACCTATAAAAGTTCTATAAGGGCTCCTTTAAAGGGATCTATAAGGGTTCTATAAGGGCTCCTTTAAAGGTATGTATAAGGGTTCTATAAGGGCTCCTTTAAAGGGATTTTTAAGAATTCTATAAGGGCTCCTTTAAAGGGATCTATAAGAGTTCTATAAGGGCTCCTTTAAAGGGATCTATAAGGGTTCTATAAGGGCTCCTTTAAAGGGGTCTATAAGGGTTCTATAAGGGCTCCTTTAAAGGGATCTATAAGGGTTCTATAAGGGCTCCTTCAAAGGAATCTATAAGGGTTCTATAAGGGCTCCTTTAAAGGGATTTTTAAGAGTTCTATAAGGGCTCCTTTAAAGGGATCTACAAGAGTTCTATAAGGGCTCCTTTAAAGGGATCTATAAGTGTTTTATAAGGGCTCCTTTAAAGGGATCTATAAGAGTTCTATAAGGGCTCCTTTAAAGGGATCTATAAGGGTTCTATAAGGGCTCCTTTAAAGGGATCTATAAGGGTTCTATAAGGGCTCCTTTAAAGGGATCTATAAAGGTTCTATAAGGGCTCCTTTAAAGGGACCTATAAAAGTTCTATAAGGGCTCCTTTAAAGGGATCTATAAGGGTTCTATAAGGGCTCCTTTAAAGGGATCTATAAGAGTTCTATTAAAGGGATCTATAAGGGATCTATAAGGGCTCCTTTAAAGGGATTTTTAAGAGTTCTATAAGGGCTCCTTTAAAGGGATCTATAAGAGTTCTATAAGGGCTCCTTTAAAGCGATCTATAAGGGTTCTATAAGCGCTCCTTCAAAGGGATCTATAAGGGTTCTATAAGGGCTCCTTAAACGGATCTATAAGGGTTCTATAAGGGCTCCTTTAAACGGATCTATAAGGGTTCTATAAGGGCTCCTTTAAAGGGATCTATAAGGGTCAAGCTTGGAAACCTGATCTCTGAAGCCTTGATGCTTGAACTCAGGATCTCGGAACCCTCAGGCCTTGAAGCCTACTTGAATGGGGTTTAGGATTTAGGGTAGGGTTATAAGGGTCCCTTTTAAGGGATCTATAGGGGGTGCTATAAGGGTTTAGGGTTTAGGGTCTACTTAAAGGATCATGGGACTTAGTAAGTAGGGTTATAAGTCCCTTAATTGGGATTATAAGTCTAATTATAACTGTAGTTACCTTACTTATAACCCGATTTACTAAGTCCCATGAGCCTTTAAGTAACCCCTAAACCCTAAACCCTAGGGCTGTTGCTCGGGTGTAGGGTTTAGGTTTTCTAGTTTCCCAAAGAATGGGAGACTGGACTACATTTACACATTATTATGTAGCAGACAGCCTAAGGCCTACTTTAGCCCAAGGGTATCCGTATGCTTTAAGAATGTTCCCCAGGCCTTGCGGCCGTTGCCCACCGAGCTCCTTCGCATCCCGCCACTGAACTTGTCGGGCCGTTTCCCACCTCAGGTGGGTTGCAGGGTTTACGATGTGGGGATTTTGAGCTTTTGGGCTTAGGCCAGAGGCTTTTGGGTTGCACAGATTTGTTGCTGAAGTTACGATCGCTGGATGGAGAACGCTGCATCATAAAGCAAAAGTTCCAGGAGGTGTCGGTGGTTGGCGAAATGGAGTCACCAACCGTAGGCTCTCACACCGCATTTTTGAGAAGACACCTCCGCCGACAGGTGTAGCGTATCCTACCACCCCAGACAAAGCCCAGAAAACCTATTATCTTAACACCCTTCGGTTCCCTAATTTACACTTGATTTGTGGAGCCTCGTCAGGTTTCATACAGTTTTGGGTCACTGTAGGTGTTCGGGATTTATAGAGGTTGCCGGGGCCCGATATTGGATCAGTCTTGGGGTGCTGCTTTCACAGAGGTTTCATGAGGATCTGGAATCTAGAAGTTTGTGTTTTGCTTTTGAGGTCTAGGGATACTCTGGGTCTCGGGGTTTATGGTTGTTATGGTTAAAGGTCGCCTGGCATAGGACTATTAGAGCACGGGAAAGAGAGTATCAGAAGTGCACCTGTGTGACAAAGCGAGAATCCGACACCCTAAATCCGATCGAGACTTTTGCAGCTCAAGTGTTGATTGCTCACCTGTAGCACAAAAGCCGACGGTATCTTTCTCAGGGAATATGGAAGGAAGTCATGACATGGAATCTTGACTAGTCGGGGCTACAGGTAGAGTGTAAGCCTGATAGCCGAGTCAAGGGACTAGCAAACAACGATCCGGTCTTTCGGAGGGCGGCGTGCAGTCGTTGGATCCGAACCACCACAAGCCAGAACTGAATGCCCCTGGTCACGAGTTCAGGGTTTAAGTTCCAGCATTTGGCATGTCAGGGTGTTTGACCGTAGGTTGCATGTTTTGAGTTCGGAGAGGGTTTTACTTCAGGCGTTTGGCATTTCGGGGTGGTTGGGCTTAGGTTGTGTTTTTCAGTTCGGGAGAGGCGAATGTTCGCATTCGCATTCGGTGTGCAACGTTTCAGGTAAAGAGGGTTTGGCGATGGAGTTCATTCGGCATCTCTCCCCGCCCGCAGTCTCATGTGTTGCAGGTCCCTTTGCACATGGCTGGTGCAGCATTGCAGTCTTGGCAAGGTCTCACGCGACATGCATTACATCCCAACCCTAAGACAATCAGCCGAAGCATCGCTCATACCGGGGATGTGTCAAATTGCTTGGGCAGAGTATGGACTGTGATTGAGACTTGCATTGCGAGCCTTGCCAAAGCAGCTATGCTGATAGTTGTGGCAACTGTTTTCCCACACCAAATGGACACCGATCCCGATGCAGTTGGAGGAATCAGCATCTCATGTGCTGTTTCAGACTCCCATCACCAAGTAATGCATAATTTTACATACATATATCATACCACCCTCCCTCCCTCCCTACCATGCTTGCCTATGTGCGTGCATGTGTGCGTGCACCAGAATCAAGACATAAACAAAGCAGCCCCTTAAACCAAAAGAGTGCAAAAAGGTGCAGGTGAGCAATATGCCTTGCATGATTGCCTGATCTTGAAATGTTTTCGGAACCCTATGAAGCCCTGCATTGAATACTCATAAGGCATATTCCTCCATGCTAGGGCTTAGGAGCCTCCTCAAGATGGCCCGGTGCCTCCTAGAAAGTATGCTGGGCTCTCAATCTCCTGTAGGTTTAGGGTTTGGGGTTCAACCGTAAACCCTAGACCCAAAAACTCTAAACTCCTAAACTCCCAAACCCTAAGCCTCTAAGCCCAAAGCCTAAGCCCTAAGCCCGAAACCATTCACCCTACACCCTAACCGAAGCCCCTTCAGCCCCTAACCCCTAAGCAGGCCAAAACCCTTGCGGCAGAGGTGTGGGCTGAGTTCAACAACGGCGTGGCAGCAGCTCTGCAGGTCCGGCTCTTTAGGATTTAGGGTTCAGGGATTTCGGGTTTAGGGTTTGAGTTTAGGGATTTCGGGTTTAGGGATTTCGGCTTTCGGGTTTAGGGCTTTCGGGTTTAGGGATTTCGGGTTTAGGGTTTAGGGATTTCGGGTTTAGGGTTTAGGGATTTCGGGTTTAGGGATTTCGGGTTTCGGGTTTAGGCTTCAGGGTTTAGGGTTTAGGGACTTCGGGCGATTCCCGAAGGGAGCTTGATAGGAATATAGAGGAAACACACTATGGGGGTTCAGTCCCCGAGGATTCTAGAAGAGTGCCTGATTGGGGCTTACAGGGCGATTAGGTAGGGATTAGGGTCCAGGGATCTCGCGGGGTTCTAGACGAGTGCTTGATTATGGTTTAGGCGCTAGGGTTTAGGCTGAAGGGTTTAGGCTTTAGTCTTGGGGGATGAGTGCTTGATAGGACAGGGTTGAGGATCTAGGGTTTAGGGATATTTAGGGTTTAGGGATTGGGGTTTAGGCTTTATAGGGTTTAGGCTTAGGGATTCGGGTTTAGGGATTTGTGAGAATTGCAGAAAAGTGCTTGATAGGACAGGCTTTAGGATCTAGGATTTAGGAAAATTTCTGGTTTAGGGTTCAGGACAGAATTGAGTATGGGGATCTTCAAGCTTCACTAGAGTTTCAAACGGTCTTATGAGTTTGATGATGAGGGCTCAAGAGGGTTTTACGGGTTGAGTCGGGGTTCTAGAGGGTTAACCGAGGGCTTTCTAAGGTTGTTATGAAGTTGTTTTGTATTTTTTAATAGGGCGCCTATGAAGGGTTTACAAGGGTACAGGCTTGGAAGTTCGGTGGGTTTACGGTGGGTCTTGATGTTTGTTGCGGAGGTCTACTGTAGGATTGCTTAGGAAGGGGTTCTCAAAGCGACGGCAGGGCTAACATGCACCCTTAACCCTGCAAACCCTTAAACCCGATAAACGCCTAAACCCCAAACTCTGTAACATTATAAACCCCAAACCCTAAAACCCTGGAAACCCTATAAACCCTACCCCAAGGGTCCAAGTACCCAATAATCATATACTCTCCAAGATCCTAACCTACATAACTACTATCCTAAAACCGCGTACATAATTATTTGGTCTTTTGGACCCTTGGGGTAAAGCAAGATAGACGCCGGAGCTCCCAGGTCTCGGGACCCGGAGCAGAGGTGTCCCGCGGATGGATTCTTCACCACAGGCCTCCGAAGAATTGGGGTTTAGGGTTTAGGGTTTAGGGATTTGGGTTTAGGGTTTAGGGTTCAGGGTTTAGGGGGGTGGGGCCCTATTCTACTAAGGGTACTTTACAGGAACTACTTTTTGGATCCCCCGAGAATTTGGGAGGGGGAAGGGGGTTAAGGTTTTCGGGGACCTGTCAGGTTTCAGGTGACTTGGGGTTTATACGAAAGGGTTTAGGGTTTGGGTGTTTCGGCTTTCTGGTCTGAGGGGTGGAGGGGTTTGGGGCTTTGGAATTCCAAGATTTTGCCGTGCTGTGGTCTTTACGCTTCGTGCCAGTGATGTGTTGTTTCAGGGTTTAGGGCGCATTGGAGTTCAGGATTGGGGCTTAGGATATGGGATCGGGGTGCGTTGTTTGCGGTTCCATGCCACTGAAGGTGTAGAAAGGATGGAATCGGGCTTACTCTTCTTGACTCCTTGTGCCACCTCATGGCCGCAACGCCCTACAGCAGGGCGTAAGCTTTAGGTACAATGTTGGCTGTAGCAAGATAGCAGTTGTCTGATCTACAAAAGTTCCGGCATGTGCCTCTTCTCTCATGCTCAGACTCCACCAAAATAGCCGGTGGAGTAGGCCCCGAGCTTGGGAATTGCAGCAGACGTGACCAAGTGTCCTAAAGTTCCTTTGTCTTCGCCGAGCATATGCTGATGGGTTACTGTGCAGGACAATTCGGCATGAATTGTCATGCGCTGTAGGCGTAAAGAAGACGCTTGCGGCCCCTGCCAGCTGTCAGCTTCCAAATCTTGCTTGCTGGCACAAGGCCTTTTGCTGATCCTATGGGGCCAGCTCACTCCCTAAGGCTCCATGTGCCCATATAGTATATACTTAGGCCTTAAAGTACCTATATAGGGAGCCCTTTAAGGCCCCAGTACCTACTATAAAGGAACATGGGGCCAGCTCACTGCTGCCCAAAATGAGGATCGGATTCTAAGTTGCATGGTAGTTTAGGGTGGTGCGGACCCGGGACGTCAGCTAGACCATGTGCACCAAGGTATGAGTTGCAAGCCCAACAACCCGAGCTCTTAAGCCACAAGCCTTGAAACAGCCCTGTAAGCTAGCAAGGAATTCTATGAGGGATCCTACCATAATTTAACGTATATTCCTCAATCAATTATTATATAAGGGATATTGGAGTCTCTGGGTACTAGGATGGTACCGTGCCTGCTGCCCAGGAACGAGCATGAAGCTTTTGCTTGGCCTAAACGGGACAAGGTTTCTTTTAACAACCCTTCAACCCTATAATTAGCATGATGAACCCTGAATCCCTGGAACTACAAACATGTAATCCTGCCAGTCCTGCGCGCCCTGACCCCTGCATCGTTTAAACCCATTGCGCATATACACCAACATGTCCGTGTGCGAAGACATTTCCGCCCATTATCCGCTTGCGTGAAAGCCTGATTTATCTTGAAAGTTTAGCAGCACCGCTTACAATCCGCTCCAGCCCATGACGCCACGATCAGGCAAAACGCAAATCACGGCTCAAATCTGACTGACAAAGTTCTCGAGCGATCCCGAGATCCTACTTGCTAAGCTCCGACCCGCACCGAGCCCGCAAGTACCACTTAACGAGGACTGTGAGACCCCTCAAAAGCGTACTTTGGGGGGTCCCTGTAACTCCGTCGCTTTCCCTTTCTGCAGGGCGCAGTCTGCTCAGGGACAGGCCCGAGCCCGGAGGTTTAGAGTTTAGGGGTTTAGGGTTTAGGTAGGTTTCAACAATTGGATCCAGGCTGCACGGGGGTGTCGCGTTTAGGGTACTTGGAGGATCATGGGACTTTATTAAGTATAGGGTTATAAGTTATAAGTACCTTAATTGAGGCTATAAGTATGTATATATACCTTACTTATAACCCCAATTACTAAGTCCCATGATCCTTTAAGTAGAGTTGAGGGTAGGGTTTAGATTCTTGACTCCTTCCCAGGCCGCTAGTGATCGTAGACACAGAAATTCAGATGGTTCAGACGGGCACAACTTCCACCGGATGTCTCTGGTATCTGACTCATATTTTTTTAAGCTTAACGGACCTAGCGCTTCTTAAGGATTATAAAGGGGTTTCAGGAAAAGGAACAGTGACCATGTAGATCTGTTGGGCTTCAGTTGCGGTTGGCATTTCCAAAATCGTGGGAGGACGAGCATGCTCCCTCTATCATTGATTCAGTTCCTGCATTGCAGGGTTTGCTTAAGTTGCTTGAGCCTACCTGAACCTTGTCTCGGCCCAATATGAAGCCTGATCCAAACGGGTATATGGCTTAGGGACATGCTGGCGTCTACTCCTGATTGTTTTTCCAACAAGCACCTCCGCGGAGAGCGGAGAGCTTGCATGCACCTCACCTTTGCTATGAGCCCGTAGCAGAAGCGAGGCCACCAATGACAACCAGGCTGGCGGCAGAAAGCTTGGTTCAGACTTTCGGAGACTAAAATGTGATGAGGGATCTACTTTGGGATCAGCTATTCGACATCGGAGTTGAAGGGATGATTAGGTTCGGGGCTGAGAGATTCAAGCACAGTTTTCGGGCCTAGAAGCCGACTGAACAGCTCATGGGGAAGGATTGGTTGGCGACGGAGTCGATCCTGCTTGAGCCTCTTAAGCATTAGGCTGTCAGGTTTGGGCATCCTGAACCCTAAACCCTAAAAACCCTAAAGGCCCTAAACCCTAAAGACCCTAAACCTTAAAAACCCTAAAGACCCTAAACCCGGCTTGTGGCATCCTTCGGGACTTCCAGACCTTAGCCTTGGACTGACTTTCCCAAAGGCTCCATGTACCTTTATAGCAGCTACTGAGGCCTTGAAGGGCTCCCTATATCGGTACTTTAAGGCCTAAGTATATATGTATTATATATATATATATATATATATATATATTTATATTTATATTTATATATATATATATATATATATGGGCACATGGATCCTTAGGCTTTTTTCATAGCTTTAAAGCAACTCGAGGGCAAGCGTTCGTGGCCTTTGCCATGGCACTAAACTGGAGGTGGTTTTGTCCTGACGTCGCTTCCTCGTAGCCGAAACCGAGATCGCACATCCTCAAAGCTCCAAACCCTCAAGCCCTGACGCACGCAGCCGTCCAGGGTATGAAGACTCCCACGACAGCAGCAGCACCCCTAAACCTAAAACCCTAAGGAGGTGTATTTATTTTGGGATTTTTTTTTTTGGGGGGGGGCATTTTTTTTTTTTTGGCTTGTGTGCGCGCTTGGCTTGGCTTCTCGGCTTCCCTGGCTTCTTGGCCTCTGGCTTCTTGGCTTTTCGGCTTCTTGGCTTTTTTCTTCGGCATAGAGAGCCTCATAAATCAGTCCTTAAGTCACGCCCTCAACCCTAAGCCGAGCCGAGGGGAATTTAGGTCAGTAAAGCGGGATAGGGGTTAAAAAAAAATTAAATAAGGATCAAAAAAATAAATAAGGATCAAAAAAAAATAAATAAGGATAAAAAATTAAACGGGTATCCGCGAAAGGAAGGGGAAAAAGGAACGAAAGACAGAGAGAGAGAGAGAGAAGGAAAGAAAGAAAGAACGAAAGGAAGAAAGAAAGCAAGGAAGAAAGAAAGAAAGAACGAAAGAAAGAACGAAATAAAGAAATAAAGAAACAACGAAAGAAAGAAAGAACAAAAGAAAGAAAGAAACAACGAAAGAAAGAAAGAAAGCCATGCAAGAAACAGAGAAATAAGTAAATAAAGAAAGCTAAAAGTAAAGAAAGAAAACAAAAATAGAGAACTAAGTAAAGAAAGAAAGCTACAAGGAAAGAAAAAAGAAAACACAAGGAAAGAACCAAAGAGAGTTGACAACTTAGAGAAATACCACGGAATCCGTAGGAAAATCGTGTTTTCCCCAGGAAAAACCAAGCAAATCCTTAGGAAACGAAAGAAAATCCCTAGTAAAGCAGTGTTTTCCCTTGGAAAAATTCAAGAATTGCTGTATCTAAAAAGCAAGAAAGAAAGACAGAAAGAAAGAAAAAACGAGAGAGAGAACGAAAGAACGAAAGCAAAAACAAGAGGAAGAACGAACGCAAGAACTAAAGAAAGAAACTTAAGGAAATACCACGGAATCCGTAGGAAAATCGTGTTTTCCCGAACCAAAAACCAAGCAAATCCTCAGGAAATGAAAACGAATCCGTATGAAAACAGTGTATCCCCTGGGAAAAATTCAAAAATTGTTGTATCTAAAGAGGACGAAAACAAGGAAAACAGAAAGAAAGAAAGATAGAACGAGAGAGAGAACGAAAGAACGAAAGCAAAAACGAAAGAAAGAACGAAAGCAAGAACGAAAGAAAGAACGAACCAAAGAAAGAACGAACTAAATCAAACCAGAAAGGAAAGCAAGAAAGAAAGGAAGGGAGTATGAGATGAACAAAAAAAACAACAGAAAGAAAGAAAAGAAATGAACGAGCGAAAGAAAGAAAGAAGTCCATAATAAAAAAGCAAAGTTGGAAAATACGAAAGAGAAAGAATATGAAAACATCACAGAAACAAAGATACAAGCAACAGGATACTACATAGCCCACTCGAATTTACCATAATATCGTAATGTACCGTAACAGAATATAACATAATGTAAATGTAACCTATAAAATATGCTACATATTATGTTGTAAATATACACACTGTACTGTACTATGTTACAATGTACTACACTATACACTTAGATGTTGTTTTGTTCTATGTCATCTTCTGTTATATTGTATTGTTTTTTTTAGTATGCTATTATATGCTATAAGAAGCAAGGTTCTGTTATGTCAGAAAATGTCACACCATTTTTGTGTTGTCGAACCATCTTATGTCGTTCTTCTGGTTTACTATGTTATATATATATATATATATATTAGGTTAGAATGCTAACGGAAGAAGAGACACGGACAGGCACGGAAGAACAAAACACCCGCCGCCGCGCTTTTCGAGACGTGCAAGCTTGATTCAAAGAGTGTTTTCGAAGCCCATCATGTGAACGTTGTCTCTGCAAATGGGGGGGGCTGCGCCCCCCCCAACCCCCCCGCTGTTTTAAGCCGTGCAGGGTTGCTTTGATTCTCCCTGGCTTCTTGGCTTCTGGCTTCTTGGCTTTTCGGCTTCTTGGCTTTTTCTTCGGCATAGAGAGCCTCATAAATCAGTCCTTAAGTCACGCCCTCAACCCTAAGCCGAGCCGAGGCGAATTTAGGTCGGTAAAGCGGGATAGGGGTTAAAAAAAATTAACTAAGGATCAAAAAAAAATTAAATGAGGATCAAAAAAAATTAAATAAGGATAATAAAATTAAACGGGTATCCGCGAAAGGAAAGGCAAAAAGGAACGAAAGACAGAGAGAGAGAGAGAGAAGGAAAGAAAGAAAGAACGAAAGAAAGAAAGGAAGAAAGAAAGCAAGGAAGAAAGAAAGAAAGAACGAAATAAAGAAATAAAGAAACAACGAAAGAAAGAAAGAACAAAAGAAAGAAAGAAACAACGAAAGAAAGAAAGAAAGCCATGCAAGAAACAGAGAAATAAGTACATAAAGAAAGCTATAAGTAAAGAAAGCAAACAAAAATAGAGAACTAAGTAAAGAAAGAAAGCTACAAGGAAAGAAAAAAGAAAACACAAGGAAAGAACCAAAGAGAGTTGACAACTTAGAGAAATACCACGGAATCCGTAGGAAAATCGTGTTTTCCCCAAGAAAAACCAAGCAAATCCTTAGGAAACGAAAGAAAATCCGTAGGAAAGCAGTGTTTTCCCTTGGAAAAATTCAAGAATTGCTGTATCTAAAAAGCAAGAAAGAAAGACAGAAAGAAAGAAAAAACGAGAGAGAGAACGAAAGAACGAAAGCAAAAACAAGACGAAGAACGAAAGCAAGAACTAAAGAAAGAAACTTAACGAAATACAACGGAATCCGTAGGAAAATCGTGTTTTCCCGAACCAAAAACCAAGCAAATCCTCAGGAAATGAGAACGAATCCGTATGAAAACAGTGTTTCCCCTGGGAAAAATTCAAAAATTGCTGTATCTAAAGAGGACGAAAACAAGGAAAACAGAAAGAAAGAAAGATAGAACGAGAGAGAGAACGAAAGAACGAAAGCAAAAACGAAAGAAAGAACGAAAGCAAGAACGAAAGAAAGAACGAACCAAAGAAAGAACGAAATAAATCAAACCAGAAAGGAAAGCAAGAAAGAAAGGAAGGGGGTATGAGATGAACAAAGAAAGAACAACAGAAAGAAAGAAAAGAAATGAACGAGCGAAAGAAAGAAAGAAGTCCATAATAAAAAAGCAAAGTTGGAAAACTAGAAGACAATTGGCCCGAAAGCATCATCAGCGAAGAGTGTTGCGCTACGTCATAGAATCCAGTGTATAGGGTCATGGAGTCACCGAGTCAAAAGCACGGAGTCACAGAGTCGGAGTGTCACATACAGTCAAGAGTCGTACAAGTCATAGTTCATAGGGTCATCGAGAAATAAAGTCGAGTACATGTCAAGCACAAGTCATAGTTCAAAGAGTCATAGAGTCATATAGAGTCATAGAGTCACAGTGAGACAGAGTCATAGAGTCATGGAGTCATCTATGTACCACGCACTTGACTTGATGTAGTTCACTCTATGAACATTGATGTTCAGGTTTAGCGGGTTTAGGGTATAGTCCAACATGACGCAGAAGTCTTCCTTTCCTAGCTCCGGAACCTCACTATATAGACATCCCTGATTACTGTGGTTTCAACGTGACTCTATGACTCTATGCATGGTCACTTTATGTCGCAGCAGTAGTAGTAGTAGTAGTAGTAGTAGTACTAGTAGTACTAGCAGTACCAGTACTAGTAGTAGTGATAGTAGTGGTAGTCGTAGTAGTTGTAGTAGTAGTCGTCGTCGCATAGTCGCAGTCGTAGTCGTAGTAGTAGTAGTAGTAGTAGTAGTAGTTGTTGTTGTGGTACTAGTAGTAGTAGTAGTAGTAGTAGTAGTAGTAGTAGTAGTAGTAGTAGTAATAAAGTAGTAGTAGTAGTGGCAGTAGTAGCAGTAGCAGTAGTAGTGGTAGTAGTAGTGGTAGTAGCAGTAGTAGTAGTATTCTTTTGTAGTAGTGGTAGTAGTAGCAGTAGTAGTAGTAATAATAGTTGTAGTAGTGGTAGTGGTAGTAGTCGTACTAGTACTAGTTCGAACACTCGACAACGCCAATCTCTGTGAAGGGTTGCAAGTTTCACCTCAATGCACATCAAAAGTAATAATTTTACCTCGCGTTCGAACACTCGACAACGCCAATCTGTGTGAAGGGTTGCAAAATTCATGTCAATGCACATAAAAAATTGCAACTTTACCTCGCGTTCGAACACTCGACCACGCCAATCCCTGTGAAGGGTTGCAAAATTCATCTCAATGCACATCAAAAAATGCAACTTTGCCTCGCGTTCGAACACTCGACCACGCCAATCCCTGTGAAGGGTTGCAAAATTCATTTCAATGCACATCAAAAATTGCAACTTTACCTCGCGTTCGAACACTCGACCACGCCAATCCCTGTGAAGGGTTGCAAAATTCATTTCAATGCACATCAAAAAATGCAACTTTACCTAGCGTTCGTGCATTCGACCATGCCAATCCCTGTGAAGGGTTGCAAAATGCCAATCCCTGTGAAGGGTTGCAAAATGCAGCTCAATGCACCCAAACCCTGTGAAGGGTTGCGCGGCGCCCGCAAAATGTGTAACTTTACCTCGCGTTTGAACGCCCGAGGATGCTGCCCTGCAAGGCAATGCAACACGGCCAAGCAAACCACAAAAAAAAAAAAATGCAAAAAAAAAAAAAAAAATCCCAAACTAATTCCAGACCCAAACCCTAAACCCTAAACCGCACGTATTGGCAAACGTTGGTGCTTTGAGGTTTCAGGCTTTCGCTTCGGGCATTATACAGCTTTGGGTTAGGCTTTAGGGTTTATAGAAATTGTTAAGGGTTTGGGTGCCAAGAACGTTTCGACCGGAAGGTTCTGACCTACAGTTTTGACGGAAAGTTTTGATGGTGAGTGAAAGTTTTGACCGAAACGTTTTGATCAGGTTTTCTGACTGAAACTTGATCGGGGTGGATGTTGAGGTGGGACGATGGCGTCAACATCGAGACCGCAGCCAAGGACGCTTTCCTGAACCGCGCTTCTCCGCTGCATCTGCGTCGATTGCCTTACTCGCTGTTCGACGGACGGTGTTGTCGAGAGACACCGGTGAAGTTGGTTTTAAATCCATTTCATCGAAGGTGAATGTTCATTCCAAAGATGGGCAAATGGAAATGGGAATCGAAGCCGCTGCCAGACTCGGCCTCTGCCAATTGGACCACTGCACTATGAAGTGGCGGAGTGGACGCTACGTGTTCGCCGTCACGCAGGTCCGGGGACTATAGCTGCAACTCTTGTCTGTTGTCCTCCGCTGTGCCGAGGTCAAAGGCAATATCAACATAAACCCGGACCCCGGTATGACGCTGCTAGTACCGTACCAATCGATCAAAGCCCGCGGGGTCAGGCAGCCAACATGACATCACGTATTGCATGGACGTGGTGCGGACCACGACTCGGGCGATGAAGCTGCCAGGAACATTCGGGGGTGGATCCCCTGCTTGTCTGTCCGGCTTTCGAGGGGCCGTGAAAAAAACAGTCAGCCGAGTAGCTCATTCCCTGTGAAGCCGCAGATTATTTTTTGATTGATGTCAAGCAAAACTTCAATCGACTCTCCCATCCCTCCGATCCTCCACACTGTAACTCGACATCAAACGCTGGTGACAGGTGCTCCTTGGGTCTGACAACAACAACAACAACTCGTACAGGAACACAGGCACTCAGGTGTCTCTTTTGCTACAGGCGCACAGCTGTAGTCCACTGCACTAGAACCTTGAGCAACAGGCATGGATACATGCAAGTGATACGTGAGACAGACAGGCACCTGGATGTGTAACATTCATTCTTTCACCCCCCCCCCCCCGCACTACTGCGCCCCACCCAACCCTGCTCAGCCCCATCTGGCAGACTGCGTGGTCAGTATTAGTACTATTTGAGAAATTTCCTTGGAGCCCAATGCATGCCCAACCCCCCCCCCCCGCCCCCCCGCCCCACCCAACCCTACTCAGCCCCACTCAGCCGCACCTGGCCCCACTGCGTGGTCAGCTTTAGCACGATTTTCCCTGTATTTGGTCGTATTTGAGAATGCATGCCCACCCCACTGCGTGGTCAGTTTTAGCGCGAGTTTCCCAATATTTGGTAGTATTCTCGAGACAGGGTTGCGCTGCCGGGAACCGTCGAGTTCAAGCATCAGGAGCTTAGGGATCGGTCGGGCCGAGGTGGTGCCCGACTGATACGGCCTCCACCAAACCAAAGGGGGGCTCTGGGAAACGAAATGTTGCCTGTTTTCTGCAGTGCAGGCTAAACCCTATTTAAACCCTACACGTATTTGTTTTTTTCGGGTTAGTTGCACTCAAAAACAAAGGGCAGTCAACTTATTTGCCACCGCAACTTATGTTTTTTGCATGCATATGGTTAACGTTGCACATTAGTCGTTCTGAACCCTAAACCCTAAACCCTCTTCGATTTTATGCTGTCCAAACTTTAAAAACACCGTCACACCCACTACAAAATGTAAGCACAATGACATTCGTTTCCGCTGACATGATTTTCAAGAGTATTGTTTCTTATTATCTCCATGCACGAGTAAACCCTAAACCCTTCTCGATTTCGTGCAGTCTAATCTCTAAACCCCAAACACTCGTCACGTCCAGCACAAAACACAAGAACGGTGACCTCTTGTGACGTTAAACCTTAAACCCTAAACCCTTTGCGCATTTCTTCCTCGGGCTAGTTTCCCTCGGATAGAAATTGTTAAGGGCTTGGGTGCCAAAAACGTTTTGACCGAAACGTTTTGACCAGGTTTCCCCACAGAAATTGTTAAGGGTTTGGGTGCCAAAAGCGTTTTGACCCAAAGTTTTGACCGAAACGTTTTGACCGAATCGTTTTGACCGCAAGTTTTGACAAGGTTTCCTTTGGTTATTGAACTGGTGAGCCGGGAGGCTGGGCTGGGCTGGGCTGGGAACTGGGCCAGGGGCCGGGCCTTGGGGCTGGGGCCTGGGGCTGCGGCTGGGTGGGGCTGGGGCTGGGGCTGGGTGGAGCTGGGGCTAGGCGGCTGATTGCAAAAAATAAGTTTTGCGATTGAAACTTAGGTGGAGTATTGCGACTGAAATCTGATTTGAATTTGGCGGAGTTTTGTGACTCGACCCTGGTTTTGGGCTGGGTTGGGCTTGAAATTGACGGTTCTACTCACTTCTTCACAGTGGCTAAGAATCATGCACCGAAAGCCCACGAGTGCAAAACCCAAGCACTATAAGCCGGACCTAGAGTACCCAAGGTGCCTTTAACAAGGGCTATGGCCCTAACAAATGGTATATCTGGCTTTCTTAAGGTACCCGGGTTACTCTAGGTACACGCCAAACTCGATCAGGTGTCCAACAACACCCACGCAGGCTTCCTCCTTGGTCTGGGTTTGTGACATGGCTGCAGAACTATCAAGCCCAGAACTTTAAACCCCAAGTTAAGGTAGGCCCGCCCCTCATGAAACATGACATCGGTAATAGCTGCTACAGTAGTGTTTTCTTTCTGCTGCTCTATATCATAAGGGTGGGCGTTGCGAGGTTTAGCGTTTAGGTATTTTCTGCAAGTGCAACGTGAAGCTCCCATGATCATGGTCTGGGGGACCGTATGCGGCAGCAATCTGAATGCTCAAAAGAACTCTGAACGAAGCCCGAGCGAAAGCCTGACTGTCTGCACTGTCTGCACTACGACCTAGGACCCTAAGGCGTCAGGGTGGAGTGCTCAAAGTTTAGGGTTTAGTAAAAAAACGCAGCACGGTCGAAAATTTCGATACTGGCCTGAAAGATCTGTCTAAACTAAACCCCTACACCCTGAGCCCTTTAAATCCCGAAACCCTAATTATCTAATTACACCCCTGCACCTTCAACCTCCTAAACCCCCTTGGCCCGAAACCCCAAACCCCCAGCGATCTCGGCCTAGGCGAGGTTGCTTGAAAGTCCTCCCGGTGGCAGACTGCGCGGGCCTTTGAATGCCTTGAGGGTTCCTTTAAGGGCTCCTTCAGGGGTCCCTCAAGGGTTCTGTTAAGGGTTCCTGTGAGGGGGTTCTGGGGCCTTGTTCCTAAAAGCGTTTGCAGGGCTGATAGTCTTAAATGGGTTAGCAAGGTTCTTGTAGGGTTGTGCTTGAACCTGTTTCCGTGCAACGTGCTGGCCAGAGCGATAGGCTGGAGATGTGATACTTCGCAGACCCACCTGGCCGGCCGGCAAATAACCCAAAACCCTGAACCCCGGACTCTGAAAACTTGTTGAATAAACCCCTATCCCTTATACAATTACAAACCCTACAGCCCTGCACCGCAACATGAGCGCTGCAACCCGAAAGAGAATTGTCTTGCAATGTGTCAAAGACCTGTAAGGCTACAAGTACCTCCGCTTGCAGCACGACACCACGTACCACGGCTGGCACATGGGAGTTTCCGGAAATAGGGGATCCTCATATATAGTACCCCAAATAGTAGGATCCTTGTTATAAGGACCCTTAAATAAGGTACCCCTATTTTCGTGACGGTGCAGTATAGGGGCCTTGAGAATCAGAGCAGGGTTTGGAGAAGGGACATTGATGATTCGAGTAGTCTTCCTTTCGGTTTCCTAGTTGTTCAGGCACTAAGATGAAAGCTTAGTAGGTTTAGGGCTACCGGGCTTCCGGATCAGGGCACGTCAACCTCTGACTTCGACCATAAAATCTTGGCTTCGTTCGCCGCTAAAGAAAGGGTGCAAAGAAAGCCCAAGGTTTGCTTTAAATTACCTAAAAACCTACGTCTTTGCAGGTTCCCTCTGAATTCTTCGAATCACGTCTACATTAAGAATTTACAAAGAAATAGGCGATGGTAGTTTGACCCTGGACCCTACACCCTAAACCCGACAGGAGTGCCGCTGTGATCTTGGGACTGGCGGCTTCCCATGTCTCCTCCATGGATGCTGGGCTCACGCGCACGCGCCGAGCTCGGGATCAGGTCAGATCGTTTCTCAAGCCCGTCTTGGACCCTACAACACCTATCTTGATAGATTTCTTTAGTATCAGTTCCTCACATCTTACAATTATCAGCAGGTTATTAGCGGTGATGATAGGGCTCCAGCTACCTCAAGACAAAATGTGTTGGACAGCCTTTTCAGGAGCTCCATTCGAGTGTTTTGCACAGGTGTAGAACATGCACGGCATTGTCGGGAACGGTAGTAGCGGCGAGATCGGGTTGAGCCGACCATTCCCAGATTGGGCTTGCCACCAACCTAAGACTGCTTGTCCATAGAGCTCCAGTCACCTAAACAGTTACATTTACCCCAAGGGTCCATGGACCCTAATAGTATATACTTTGGGCCCAATGTACCCATATAGGAACTACATTAAGGCCAAATTATCTACTATTTGAGCACATGGACCCTTAGGGTCGGTTAGTAGCTAGCCTGCAGGATCCCAAGACCCTCTGTTCATTCACGTAGAGGTAAACGGAACTGCCCATAGCTCGGGCATGAAGGTTCCGCGTTGATGTGGCAGGCTTTACTGTGGATCGAGGTTGGTTATTCGGAGCTGCGCGGGTGGATATGCACCTCCAAGGCAGTTTTTGGTGAACTATTGCGCATCGGTGAAGCCCAAGGAAGTGGTGGGCTTGGCGATGGTGGCACAGCAGGAGGGTTCCATACGTCATTTGTTTATACGTCGAGTTTTCCAAAGCACCTTATCTAGTGTATATCATTCTGCCTGGATTCTAGATTCTAGGTGCTGCGTGCACATCCCTTCCATGCTTCCGGTGACGTTCTCCGACGTTGAGGCAGGTTGGGGCCGACGGGCTGATCAGCAAGTACGTGGTTTGAAGCCCATATTTTTGAAGCAAAATCTTGTAAGCAGGAGGAAAGCTCGAAAGCCTTGCCCCTACACCGGCCCTACACTCTTTCGGAATTTCGCGCTTTGCATTGTAGAGGGTGTTGAACGGATCTTTGACTTTGAGTCGCCAGGATCCAGGGGTTCAGTGAGGGAACACTGGGGCGCCAGCTACCAATCGTAGATGTTGCAGGGCTTGCAGGGTTTATCGGGTTTTCGGGAGGCTTTGGGCTTATTTATGGGGCTTGTACAGTTTACAGGCTTTCGTATGTCCCGGTAACCCAATGTTGAGGTACCTGGAGCCCTATACTTTTGTTACGGCTTCAGTGGCTATGGTCCCTGATTAGGGTTTAGGGTTTGGATTTTCGAGCATGAAGATGTTTACAATTTAAAGGTATTGAGATGATCACTACACATACCCTACAGCCTACTAGATGCGCCTTCCAGGAATGGCACCTTGTTTCGAAAACGCCCAAGCACCTGAGCTACTTCGGCTGGGTCCGTAAACCCTATAAGCCCTATTACGCTTCGCATCCAGTTCCAAAGCCATACTGTATCGATCCGAGAATCCTAACTAAGCTGCACACGGAAACCAAGACCCCAAATTGCCGAAACCTTAAATCCAAATCCCCTAAACCGGCCTAGGGTTTGGGGTACAGGGAACTATCATACTCCCTTTTAAGGTAGGGGGCCGCCAATCATCCGACATCCAGCTGAGATGAGTCAGGGCGGCCCACCTCACAGTGTGTCGAGGCACTCCAGCAAAGAAAGCACTGCCACTGCGCAGCGAGACAGGTCCTGAACCTTTCCTGCCGCAGCAGAGACCCTTGTACTTATAGCTAACTTGCAGCAACACTGACGAATTGGTTGCTTTACAGAAATCCTACAGAAAACTCAAATCCTCACCCTCCAAAGGTGGCGAGCCCGGTGCAGAGCAGTGCCGTGCTTTCCTTGGGGCTTCTGTTCGCCGGTCATGAGCTCAGGCGGTGTCATAGAGTTGAGCGCCGATTTTGGGACTTGTAGAGGATGTCACAGGGTTTTGTACGAATTCTACGAACTATCGTCTCCTTAGGTATTACGTTTTGTTTTTGTTCATATAAAACCCAAGAGAATGTTAAGCATAAGATTTTTACTATGGTTCTAAGGGGGGTATAGCAAAGGTTTAAAGGCCTATTATACAGGGTGGGGTTCGTGCAGGGGTTGAGGGGTAGGAGTCAGGGATCAGGGTCCGGGGGATGCCGCTCGGACTACATGTGGGCGTCCATGGTTCAGGCTTTAGGGGTTTAAGGTTTACAAGGTTGTAGGAGTGAGAGGGGGTTAGGGTTTAGGGTTTGGGTTTAGGGTTTGGTTTAGGGTTTAGGGTAGGGTTTATAGGTGGGTTGAGGTCTTCTGGACGGATGTCTTCTTCTCACAACAACCCGGCACCGACCTTGTCCCTACTGTACCTGTCGGGAGAATCCTAGGTCCTTAGAAGCACAAAAAAAACAAGACCCTATTAAACCCTAAACTTTCCGTAAACCCCATCAACTTTCCCTAAACCACATACACCCGAAGCCTAGTCTCAGCTAGAGGTTCGGCTCATCGGATGATGACGGAGCTCTTAGTGGCCGAGTGCCGGGCTCAGGGGGTTTTGGGTTTAGAGGTTTAGCTTTAGGGGTTGAGGGGTTTAGTGTTAGGGGTTTAGGGGTTGGGGCTTTAGGGCTTAGCGGTAGTGTTAGTCATAGTATCTAGCAGATCTAACCGCAATGTTGTAGGGTCGAGGCTTTGTGTGGCGTAAACCTCGGGATTTGGACCATAGATTTGTCAGGAGTTTGAAGCTAGAGGGTACTTGGAGGATCATGGGACTTAGTAAGTAGGGCTATAAGTACCTTAACTGGTGTTATAAGAAATTATAACTGTAGTTGCCTTACTTATAACCCCAATTACTAAGTCCCATGATCCTTTAAGTAGAGGGGAGTTAAAAATCGAAAAGACTCGCAGCGACGGCGCCTTCTCCAGGGGAAAGAAGGAAGTTTGCGAGGATGCCAGGGGGTTTAAAGGTACCTTTTTTGGAGTCTGAAAAATCGGAGCCCTTATCCACATGGGTAGTCGTCAAAATCAGGGTCCCTTTTTGGGTACCTCAAATATTAGGTGCCGTATTATAACAAGGACACAAAAAGGGACCCTAATTTTGACAACCACCCACATACTGGTAAACCAAAAAGGGTGTAAACAGTGTAATTAAGCTCTTATCATGTTCATGTGGCCTGTATACATCCTTGCAAACTTGAAGGAGCCGATAGTCTTTCATCGTTCTTGCTTCAGGCTCCGTGGACTTGGAAGATTTACCTGCAGACGGCATGTTTGCCAAGCCATGTGGGAGGTACCCATATACCTCCATGGAGGCTTTAACCCAAAAGCCATCAATTCCTGAGCCCTACCTAATCCCAGCCTTGGCTGTGCGCAGCACGAAAGCATTGCATACATGCGACATCGTGACTTAAGCTTGCAATGCTCAGCTTGAAGAGAACGCCAGAGACAAGACGGACAGACATAGACCCTGAACCCTAAACCCTAAACCCCGGGTGCTTCAATGCTGTCGTCCCAGCCAAGAGCTCCACTCCGAACCACCATCGAAGACCTTTTGGAACCAAGGCCTCAACTCGGAAATCGAATGTAATTTACGATCTTCTGGCTCCAGTTACCTAGATACGTATTGGTCCATATCCCAACTGTTCAACTTCTTGGCTCTTACGAGGTAGTCTTATTCTGAAAGTTTGAACTTTTTAGCCCTGGGGTTTTTGGGAAATAAGGACAGTAGGTTACTGGGTTTTTAATCCATGCTTAGCATCCTGGAGGCCTAGGGCTAGACTTTGGGAGGATTGGTCGGCGCCCGGCGGAGAGGGCGCTGAACGATCGGGAGGGATATGCTCTCGCCGCAGGCCTGCGTTCAAACTCTATAAGGTTGGTGGAGAGCTTTCGGGCGCCATGTTCACAAAGTTCTCAGGGTTTAGGGTTTATATAGTTCCTTCAGGAGTTCAGGCTTGCCTCAGCATGTTCGCTGAAGTATTGTCCACAATGCAATGCTGCATCAGTATGTGGGTTGAGATGTGAACTTAGTACGTGCAGGCATGCAGGTTCCCTGTCTAATACAGAATCTAGTCGACATGCAACTTGCTGAATAAAGCGGTGTCTCATTGCTGGTGAATCTTTCCGGAGAGCAAGCCGATGCCACTTGTAGGTTCAGCAAGCGCACGCACCACCAAAGCATTGTGCGGATGCGATTTACGTACGACAAGCCACTAGTTTGATGTGTTCGGGATAGGTGTATACTCCTTGCTGGCAAAAGGCAGGCTTGAATGTGCATATTACGAAAAACGGGGACATAAGAATGACTATGTGATTATATTGCAGTATATGTATATGTATATAATATGTATATGTACTATATACATGTACAGGTAAATTCGTGGGTTTTACAGGTTATGCTCACCACACGCACTGTTGTTTGGGTGTCTTCGCTTACGGAAGCTCTGAAGCTATCTATCTCCAAAACAGAAGGCGCACTTGTCCATCCGTCTGTCGATTAACCTGTCTATGTTTGTCCGTATGTCAACTCATCCGTTTTGTCGCCGTGCATACCCTGTTGCTCATAGCATCGGAAACTCACCCACACAACAATTAATGCTGACAAAGGTTCCATAAGCCCTAAAGCCTATAGAAACCCTAAACCAGTACTACCTAAACCCCCAGCCCTAAACTGAAAAGCATGACGTCCTTGTGCCCAGCTTGCGATCTGCGAGTTCAAGGGTCCCTAGAATCAAAGAACCTTTAAACCCGAAGCCCCTCCCTAAGCCCTAACCAAACCCTACACCTCAAACCCTCAAACCCTCGATTCGGCATTTCGGATCGAGGCTCTGCTTCTCGAGGTCGTTGGGGGTTTGGGAGTTTGATCTAGTGGTTTGGGGTTTTGGGTCTAGGGTTTTAGGGGTAAGGCTTTACCAAAGGATCCACGTGCCCAATTAGTATATACTTTTGGCCTTAAAGGAGCCCCGAAATCATATCCCGATGTAGGTACTTTAGGGCCAAAGCATATGCTATTTGGGCACAGGCCCCCTTAGTGTTCAGGGGAAAGTGGCTCTAGGGTTGCAATTGGTGGCGTACTCTACAACGGGTTTCAGGATTTGGCGTTAAGGATTTAGGGTGGGGTAGTTATGGTTTATTTATATAGTTTCCACTGTATTTGGGGTTAAGTCATTTTTACAGATAGGATCCGAGAAGGTAGCCCAAACAAGGAACTGCAATAGAGACTTAGGGAGGGTTCAAAGCTTTTTACAATCCTGTATTCAGAAACCCACCACTTAGAGCCCATGTTGGAGTTCTGTCGCTGCCGAAGTCCCCAGGTGTACTTTCGAGGCTTGCAGCTCGTGACGAGAGTCGAGTTTAAGTTTAAGATCTTGGCCTGCCCCTAAACACTAAACCCCTGATCCCCTACCTAAACACTAAACCCCAACCGTGGCTCCAGCTTGATTTTCAGGGCTGTCAGTGCTAGACTGCGGGGCAAGCCACGCCGTCATAGTGAGAGTTCCGGAAATGCTGCGCGGCTGCTGTTTGCTGAAAGCTGCGAACAGGCTCAAATAGGTGTGTTTCAGGTTTGTTTGTTCTACTAGAACGTTTGTTCAAGGCAGGAAACCTAAACCGAAAACCCGAAAACCCACAAGCTCAAAACCTGCACCCCAAAGCATGAAAGCTCGATCAGGCCAGCAACTAGCGGGTATTCCCGGGGCGTGGGTATGACGATGTCTTGGCAAACTTGTTGAAGTGACAGGGTAGGGCTTTCTGGTTAATCAATTCGTTTTGGAGTGGGGGCGGGTTGTGGGTTCTAAGATGGGATGAAGGAGCGAGAGACAGATGTCCTAAACCGGGAACTTGCTTGATGCTAGTCGAGCCATCGGGCGCACACCAAAGCCAAGAAACCCGACACCTGAACCTAAACTCCTAAGCCCTAAACCCGAAACCTGAAACCTGCACCGGAATGGCCGGCAGCGATGCCGCGTCAGCTGCCCAGTCCGACGCCTCGCCGCAGAGAGACCCTTCAGCCAATGATAGGTTGAACCCAAGTACATTACGGATACAGAAACTTATATGTATGTGTATATGTAATGTTCATTGTAGTACTGCGTGGTCCTGTCGGGTCCGGCATGGCATCGCCTGGTACTGTGTGGTATGCATGCATGCAGTTGTGTCTAAAAACAGCATATACACTCATTCATTTATTTGGCTATCTAATTACTGATTTTTCATAGTTCTGCATTCATGTGTGTGTGTATATATATATATATATAGATAGATAGATATTCGTGATTATATACATATATATATATGTATATGCATATATACATTTTATAATCATGTTTTTTGTACATGTTTGGTTTCCTGTTTTCTTGTTTGTGTTGTGCATGCACAGTAGGTTTCTGCCATGGATCTTGCATATCGCACATGGCATAGGTAATGGGCTTTGAGGCAAAGCATAAACTGGGACATACCCACACACCTTGGTTGCATCAAGATTTCCGCGGCCAGGACGTTGCTTCTAGGGATTCTATCTTTTATCAGGTTTATCCAATCACGATGCATGCAAAAATCTGAGAGATCCCTAGATCACCCTGTGGCCTTGACTCATGGTTGAGGGTTTAGATGGGTTTGGGATTAGCCGTCCAGCGGATGATTTGCTGAACCGCAAAGCTCCACAGACGGACACGCGAGCACCGACACGCACATACACACACACAAACAACAAAAGAAATCACAACCCAAAACCCTAAACCATACAGCCCTAAATCCTGAACCCCAAGTAAGCTCTTGGAGGATCATGGGACTTAGTAAGTAGGGTCATAAAGTACCTTAATTGGGGTTATAAATGCTTATAGCGATTGTTACACTTACCTTACTTATAACCCCAAGTATTAAGTCCCATGATGCTTTAAGAACCCCAAATTTGGACCACTCTTTCAGGAGTGTCAGCTTCTCCGCCCGGGCCTACGAGTTGTCCTCAAGGGCCTCACCGGGGATTCCGTGGAGCCCCCAGAGACTTTTCCTAGACGCCCAGCTCAGAGTTTATGGTAAACATACGGTTTTAATGTATGTAGGCATGCATGGATGCATGGATGTATGGTGTACGTAAAAAAGCAAGCGAGCAAGAATAAGCAGTACAATAGCAGACGATATACTACATAACTACATACTTTATCAATATACACACATAATGTAGGAACCTGATTAGCAAACCTTAGGCATGTATTGGGGTTCCTTATATGAGGCCTACTACTTTGGGGGAATAGGCCAGGGTTTCTCAATCAGGTTCCTACATATTGTATACATATATATATATACATACACACACATATATATATATATATATACGTAAATACATACATACACACACATATATATATATAATATAGGTAGTTAGGTATAGGTGTATGTATGTATGTATGTACGGTATATACATATACACATGGACACACACACATATATATATATATATGCATACATACATATCTCTTGGTATATATATATATATAGAGAGAGAGAGAGAGAGAGCGAGAGAGAGAGAGAGAGAGAGAGAGAGA